CTTATCTGTTCTCCACTTTTCATTTGGATGAAATAATAGCTGCATGAATCACGATAGAGGAGAGCAGGAGGCGGGGTTACCAATCTACTCGCTCTGGAGAGCAGGGCGGCCCCCCGAAACACGTTTAATATTATAGGCGTTCTAATGGCATTTTAACGAAAGGATTTTTATCAAAAACATAGTTAACGTGCAAAAATAAATAATGGCTGTATTAACCATACATGTAAAAGGAGATTTATGGGGCCCCCAGGAACTTGGGGCCCTAGGCAGCTGCCTAGTTTTGCCTAATGGTAAATCTGCCCCTGTCTGGTTGCATTCATTTTGGTGTAAGTTGCACATGAACATTTGAACCAATCCCGTCTCAGTTGCTGCTCCCGCCTCGACCGCACATTCATATTTACATATCAACAAAGCATGGATGGCTGCTGTTCTGCTGTTGTGACTATTCCAGTTAACAGTTTTTTTTTTTTTTTCTTTTGTTTTTTCTTTTTCAGGATGTGGCGTCTCACAACAATCTTTCATCATTTACACAAGGTACGTGCTTCTCCCATCTGGGACTCCATTAACCAAAAAAACAGAACACTGTAAGCAGAAATAATATAAACTGAACTTTGATATCTAGGAGTTTTTGGCTCAGATGTGGCCAGTACTTCTCCAGCTCAGCAGTCTACTGGTGCTGCAGATGACGCGTTGCAGGGAGCAGGCTGGAAAGCGGCTTCCTCTGTCTCCAACGCTGGGCTGCAGTCTGTTATGATGCCGTGGTCCTCATCTGACTACAGCCAGCAGGACTCCACTGCTCAGACTCTGGCCTACCCCGCTGCCCCTGCCCTCACTGCTGATGTATACATGCAGACTCTGTGCCCCAGCTATACCATGCTGACCTACACACACACGCCACTGCTCACTAACTTTGGGGTAAGTGAGAAATCCTTGTTCAAGCTTCAAATGAGCTTTAGAAGGCTAGCATGGTCCTGAAACAAACGGCAGTAGCAGAAAAATATTTCTTCATGCAAGTTTTTTTATTTCCTTTGAGTAATAAAAAGAAAACTAACAGACCTTAAGTCTGATTTGCATAAAACCAGATGATTTAGAGCAGGAGTCACCAACCTTTTTAAGAATAAGTGCTAATTCATGGGTATTGAGTCACAGGATGGGCCACTAATATTGACCTATGAACTGGAGGAGTCAGCGTTCACCTAAACTTCATAGATAAAAATATTTCTATCGTTTCTTTACATTTCTAATTTGCTTCTAGATATTGTCATTTTGAAGTCCCTGTAAATGCTTATATGTTTTAAATTATTGATATGATGAAATGCTCTATTAATGATAAAACATACTGTAACAGCAAAGGCAAAAAATAACATTGCAAACTTAGTCCACTGGTGAGTTGTTCTGTTTTCATAAGATGCTGAGGGCACCCCATGTGGTCCTTGAGGGCCCTTGGTGCCCACGGGCATCACGTTGGTGACCACTGATTTAGAGTTTATTTATAGTATAAAGCGACATTTCCCTGTAAAACGTTATATAGTACAACCAAACACCTCGGTTGTCTAAAATGGGTTTGTTCATGAAGTAGAAAAAAAAAATAAAATAGAATTGTTCCTACATGTCTGAAACAGAATTGATCCATCATCTTAGTAGGCAAGCGCATCACTACATAACCACAATCTTCACAGCTTTTAGA